GTTCCTTGCAAATCATTGTCTACAAAAGAAATTAAAAAAAAAACTAATGTTTCACTTATCTAATAGTTTCTAAAGAGGCTAAATATTAACAAAAAGTTGTAGGAAAAGTAATGTTTAAAGCTTGTTTAAGAGTCATATAACATATCAAAATTTAAGTATCGTCACATACAATTTCTTCCAGAAGTAAAGTCACAAAACTGTCCATGATTTTAGGGATTCTAGTTCTAAAAATACAGTCATTTAAGTTAACTGGCTGGTCTGTCATTTCTCCACAACAGGATAAAATATTGACTGTATAGCTCCTTTCACAGTAGGAATAGCACTTGAGTCAATTTGTTGTACAACCTTGACACTACAGAATTTCTGAGAAAATTTTTACAATTTATGTAAATTGTTTATTAAAGTAGGAAGGAAACTAGTTTCTATATTAACTCAGCATCTTGACATATCACTTAGAAGTTTATGATACAATTTCACAAAAATATGGGTACTTAGGAGTACCCATAGGGGTACCCATATGGGTACGTAAAAGTATCCTGCCTACACTGAAAATTGTTCCCCACTACACTCAGAGCTCTCTTTAACCAGATTTCAATCTGAGTACCAGGGTGAAGGAAGCAAGAAGTAGTCTAACACGTGCATCAGCAGGTACAGGCTTCAATCAATAACCCAGAGCAGATATTGCAACCAGCAACACTAACAAGGTGGGTGTAACTCCCTCAACCTCCAGTGAGTTTTCCTGAAACCACTGCACCGCACCTCAGTCACACAAAAACAAAGTTAAGCCCTTCACAAACCTTCCCAGCTCACTTAGATTTGAACTGAAAATGCTGCTTTGGCAGCTGTTTGGAAGCAAGGCGTGCTCAGGCTGGAAGGGGTGAGCCACAGGCTGCTCTTCTGTGGCTATGGCACTGCAGCCCTGGGATGACTGCTGAGGCCCCAAGGAATTGCAGCACATCAGCACCTGGACACTGAAATTAGGGCCCTGTAGTGATATGCCTCACCAACTACTGTCCCTCAAAGCCTACAATCTTCCCACACAATGCAACAAGTAGAAGGAAAAACAAGGAATAAAGGGATTGCTCTGGGTTATTCAGCAGCCACTGCCAGAGCCAGGACACGTGTCAGATTCAAAATGCGACTGTGCACTGACAGTCACTTCACCTAAAAACCCAAAGCCCTCAACTTCCTCTGATAGATCAAATTCCTCTAAGCACTGTGGTTGACATGCTTGACTCTAAAGACTCTAATATGCAAAAAAGGCAAAGCAATAAAGCTTGTTTTTACTTCTGGTCATTTGTTATTTACTTAGGCTGTCTAGATGAACCTGCAAACACTCAACTAAGACACTGGGCTTCCCTGGGGCCTGCTGGACCACAATATCAGAGGTAAAGCTGTTTTCCACCAGAATACACAAAATCACAACACCATAGACCAGAAAAAGTCCCTGCAGAACCTCAATCCATTTGTAAATAGGGACAATTAAAACAAATTTTAAAAATCCAAAACTTGTGTATTATTTAGTCCATTGAACTATCAAAACAATTAAGCTCTGATGCTTTTCTTCCAGATACTCTTGCAAGCCATGAATATTTACATGAGTTAGCCACTCAACTAATCCAAACTAGCAAGTTTATTAGTCATTCATGTCTCACAGAAGGATAATAAATTCCAGTCTGCGTGAGCATAACTAGCAGGATTATGTCAAGAAAAGAAACACAACAAACATCCCAAGACTACTTGGAGAAGCTCTAATTAGAGGCAATGCCGTCTCCTCAAACGTTACTTTCATCAACTCAGGTTTCATTTTTGCATTTCGAGCTTTATTAAAATCCACTGATATAGGCCAAATACCTTATACATACAAGTTTATAACACAACCTTTGCTAAAAGAATGGTAAAACCCCCCTCCCGAATACCCTAGCAAAAAGCCGACGTCCTCTCATCCACGCACTGCACTCCACCACCGAAGGGCCACAGCTACGAAACCAAACTTCAGCACAGGAGAGGGTTTCCTGTCAGGCCACAACAATGACACCAAAAACACACAGTGGGCACCGATCCCTGGAAACGCCGCGGCCAAACGAGCGTCTCTCCGGCACCTGCGGAGCGCCCCCGGCTGCGGCCAGGCCCGGGCACTCGGCCGGGTTAGCGCAGCCCGCGGGGCCCGGGGGACGCAGCTCCGCCCGGCACGGCGGTCCCGCCGGCAGCGGCCCCCAAGCCCAGCCGAGCCCGCTCGGCGCGGGACAGCCGAGCCGGGGGCAGCGCCGGGTCAGCCGAGCCGGGGGCAGCGCTGAGGCCGCCGCGCCCGCCCGGGACGCGAACAGGCCCTGCCGCGCGGGGACCCGCGGCGCGCCCGAGCCCCGCCGGCGCTCCCGGGGGCTGGGCCGGTCCCGCCGCCGCCGCCGCCGCCGCCGCCGCCGCCCCGGCGCCGCCCCCGAGCCCCAGAACCCCCCGAGCGTGTCCGCCCCCCGTCCGGCGGCGGGCGCGGTGCGGGCGGGCCGGGCCGGCCGGGCACCCCCTCCCCGCTCACCATTGTGGTCCATGATGCGGCGCGCGGCGCTCTGGGAGCGGAAGGGCGCGTCCGGAAGCGGCCGCGGCGGGGGCGGGGCGGCAGCGGGGAGACCCGGCACGGATCGGACCGGACGGGACGGCCCGGGATGGGACGGCCCGGGCACGGCGGGGCCGCCTCACAGCGGGGCCTGCTCCCGGCAGCCGCTGCGGACCCTCGGCGCCTGCCGGGACCGCGGTCTCGAGGGTGCAGCGCCGCGAGGGGTTGGAAATGGACCCTCTGTGTTCCTCGAGAAGGGTGGAATTATAAAATGCGTGGGGTGTCTCAGGGCGGGACCCATGGCGGTTCCCCCCGCCCCGGTTTGTAGTGCACACCGGAGAGGTCTGACACTGCATGGTCAGCCTGGAGTTTTACCCTGGGAGCGGCAGATTCCTGACAATAGGGCTGTAGAAATGATGGAACGGTGACCCTCCAGAGCACTCAAAAGCTTCACGGCAGTAAAGCTCAGTAGCTCAGGAGAGGACTGAACGTAATTTCCATAAACTTGGCGTTTTGTAATTTCTATGTAACTCGGTGGAATAGTCTATAGAGTGCTTCCAGAGCACCGAAGAAAGAAAAAAAAAATAGAACTGAATCGTGGGTTATGAGTAGAAAGTGGCTTCAAGCAGTCCTTCCACAGCCCCAAAGAGTGGGTGACTCCATTTACTTCAGATTGGTGATTGTCTCAATAGAAGCCACCTGGACTGCGATCTTGTGTCCCTACAGACAATGTCACTCATTATCTTTACAGCCTTAACATTTAAAAGCTGCCATTTAAGTCTAACATTTCCTGTCTTACCCTCACAAGGCAGACAGGTTTTCCCTTTTGTCTTTGTTCCTCACAACTCAGACGTTAAGTGAAGCATGACACTGAACCCTTTGTAATATTCTTTATGTCCCCATAATAAGAATTAATAAGAAGACTTTTAAAAACCCCCAAACATGCAGATGCAAGGAACATGTTTACAGTGTGCACAACTTTATTTTCTAGTTAATGGATACACTTATTTTTCAAATGCAGCTTTTTAAAAGGGTAAAAAACCTTAAAAATACATCTCCAGATTTAATACCTGACATGCAAAGACAGAACAGTAATACTTAAAATACAAAAATACCGCTTCTTCATCCGACTGGAAAAAGATAAGCACACCTAGTTGTATTATGGATGTTTGAATTAGTACAAAATTGTAGAAAATTTTAGCTGTGTTGCAAAATCCATTATTTTGGTGTCCTTCATTTTGATGGATACATAAAAAATTAAGCACATACTCCCTGACCCACTGAAAGAGGGATCTGAATGCTTTCAGCATATTACCCTCTTACCCTTCTATGCCACAAAAGCCCTTCTAGGCTTTGTGTGAAATGCTGTTTTTCAGAAGAAGTTGAATATTTTGTGCCAGTTAAATTAAGAACAGATACAGCCATGCCTGGAAGAACTATGCAGGCCAAAGATAAGTGCATTTCGTCATACTTTATCAAAATCACAGCTGAAGTGTCGTATTTGGAAAGGAACTGGAAGACTGTTGAATATTTAATTGCTTTTTAAATACCTGTACGGTCAGGAAATAGAGAAAGCTCAAAAAATAATGTAAGCCCACATGTCTGGCAAGTAAGAATCTATACTCAAACTTCACAGTGCATATGTTCCCTTGAGAAAAAAAAAAATCACTGCTACCAATTTTTTACCATCTTTTCCATATTGTGTGTCCTGCATAACAATTAACTGAAAGCTCATTTACCAGTCCTAGGTAGAAAATTACTTTTTACATAAAGTGTACATCTGTTTTAGAAAAGCAACACAGATTCTAAGAAACATGTCACTGGCCTTGTCCTTCTGCTACTGGCCTTGTGCACTGGCAACAGCTCCCTGTAGTCAGGTTTATAGAAGCTGAGGCCAGGGTCTAAAAGAAACTTCAGGTCAGTAAGGCAGGCAGAAGTGCCACCCAGCCGGCAAATGGGAGAGAGAGGAGGGCAGGTAGCATTAAAAAAAGCGTGAATTGTCAAATCACAGCCTGGGCCGAAGCATTAGTGTAAATAGAAATTATTAGTACCATCCAAACAGGTGCAGATTGGTCTGATTTGCCTCCTTCTTAGGTGGTGGAGATGCCCATCTGACATACAAATGGCCTATGTCCATTATGAGTACAATCCTGCATTTTGCTGGCTTGGACATCACCTCAGTTCAAGCCTGTATTGCATTTGAAATGAGAAACTTCACTGACTGTTGTGAAGGCTGAATTTTTTGCCTTAATTAAGAGAATAAGGATGTCTGTCTGGAGCTGTTACCTGCTATGGAAGATACTGTCCTACTGACTGAAGTTTACAGGATTTTTTTCCCACTGATTTTGATGGAGCTCATTCAGATCCTTAGGACAGAATAATTTATTTAGTGCTTGGCTTTACACCTGAGATTTTCCACTAACATTAACCTGCAGCAGAAATCTTTCTCTGATTTAATCAAATAAGGAGACTTAAATATGTGAAGATACTGAAGCTTATTAGCTCACGCTTTTATACCAGGGCATTTCTTACACTGTTGTTTTTATCGGTTTCCTCATCATGAATGGTTTTCCTCCATTTAAAAAAAATAATGTAGTGCTAAAAAATTTATGGTAGCAGTCTGTTTTACATAAAAATACATTTCTTCTTAATGAAAATTAGGAACATTAATTTCCTGCATATCTACTTTATATAATCTGAAAGTAAGAATTAAAGTTTTGCAGGTCAAATCCTTTATCTTTTGTAAATGATTGCACTTGTGCGTTTTAGACTTTCAAATGTAAAAGAACAGCAGCAGTTTGGTGTAAAATATTAAAAGAAAAAATCTGCTATATAAAAAATATAACTATTCATTAAACAAAAAATACTCCTATATTCCATTTTAAAAACCCATAAACCTCTATAATAAGTCATATTCTGACTTTCGTGCTTACACTCAGTAGCAGCTTGTTCTACAGATTCCATTAAGCACTTGGGCACTAAGGTTTTCCTTAATTTATGTTATGATCTGCCTCTTGATGAAGGTTATGTAACCTAGCCAAAATAATCTGTGTGTACTTCATTTTAGGAACAATCATAAGTAGTAGTGCATGATTTGCCACAATGGGATTAATACAGAACTAATGAGCCCATATCCAAGCGTCTTTTGAAACCTATCCTATTCAAAATTTTATAGTAGTTCAGTGCTGTTTTCTCTTCATGTGACTGTTTCACCTGCTACCTGTTTCAGTGATCTAACAACCTGCAGCAGTTTAAGGAATTGATTGGAAAAAATGATCGTGACACAGCACATATTCTCACACTAATATTCTAGAATTCAAAGTCTTGGCCAGCTAGAACTCCTGTCCTTTCTCTAGGCATGGTACAAATACTGAACAAAAGGCTTGCCATCCAAAGATTTTGGTCTGTTCAACTCTCCTGGGCAGACCCCAGTCGAGTTTTTCATCCTGTACACAATGATAAAAGTGTAGCGCATCTTCTGCTTGACTAGTCCCAAAACTCAGTAAATCTTTTATAATCGTCTTCTGATTTTCTTTTTTATTAAATGTATCATAGTGGAAAGTGCTTGCTGAATTGAGGTCCAGAATATTTCCAGGACAATGTTAGCTAAAATTTGGACGGTTATATAGATCTGTATCATTCAGAAAAACAATCAGGGTTTTCTTCAAGTGCAAAGATTGGTTTAATTGCAGAAAATGTTTATATAGTACGGGTGCGTAAATATTGCTGTGAGTTCACAGGCAGGACAGTACCAGCAGTCCATCTTCATGAAGCAAGTCTGCGCATAGCCTAGAGAAATGGTTTTTAAAAGGTGGAGAGAAACAGGCTGTGGTTAGTTTTGAGTATACACCACCTGGGAAAATAACACATTTGTATATGTGTTAACTAAAAACTCAGTGAAAGTACAGAGAAAGTAACTTCTGTAAAAAAAGCAGATTGTGCAAGAAGGTGTCTGCTGTGTTAAAAGAAGGAATGAAAGGGGGGTGTTGACCATAATTTTGGACTCTGGTGCCTCAAGCCTTACCTGATCTTCTTTTACCCACCTAACGTGTGTTTAGATCTATTTATAAGCCTGTGTAACACAAAGGTAGCCCTAAAGTGGCAGAGATGAGACGTTTATGCAGATATAATCTACTACCATCTCACTTCCTGCACTCAGCCCTGACATCCAGGTATCAGAGAGGGTATTTATGAAGAAGATAACAGTTGAGGGCCATACTCTCACAGCTTGACTCAGAGCTACAGGCAGAGGGACAGACACACTGAGTTCTGAAGTGCATACCTCTTCCTGAACATCAAGTTCATCATCAGGCCGGCTTGTTTCTGTGAACTCTAGGGGTTCTTTAGACTCCTGCATGAGTGAAATCTTGGAAAGAAATTGAGAAACATGATGAGTTGTCCATATCATTGGAATTTATTTTTTACTCTGAAGTACCTTAAAGATAACTTCCACAACTTACAAGAACTGTTGTTTACTATTCCTTGACAAAGATGTTGACTTAGTTCAGCTGAGAGGAACTTAAAAATTGCAGAGCTTTTTGGTCTTGTCTCTGCTCACACGTCTAGTAATGGTTTTGTAAAAATGATAAAAACAGATCCTATCTCTAAACTGCTGTGTAGACTGTATAAACTGCATTCACAAAATGTTGATCTCTACTATAAAACAGTAGTATGCAAAAATGATAAAAAATAAAGTCCTGTCCTAGTTATTTATCAGTAATATTAATTGTGATTGCTATGTATTCATAATGTTGTAATAGTGATTGCAAGGGAAGGAATTGTGGTGAAAAAAAGGAGGACATTGTATGACCATTTCCCTAATGTGGGCCCACATCTTTACATGCTATGGTTATGTAAAAAAACATAGAATACAATCGGGAAATGCACAGAAAAGGGCAGTAGGAATGAACAGTAGCTTGGAATAGCTTCCATACACATCCACACCAAGTAGAATGAGATCATAGCTTTGATCAGAGGTCTATGAAATATGAATAGTATTGGGAAAGGGAGCAGGGAATGATTATTCATTGCAGCCAACCATCCAGAAGTCCAGCAGGCTTAAACCAAACAAGAAATATTTGCCATATAACACATTTAAAAGTAGAGAACCCATCTCCACAGGACAGTGTCAAGCTAAAATGTGTCAAGAGGTTCCAAAAGGAGTATGACAGACACACTGAAGAAAACTCCATCTGTGACAATTAAATATAATGTTCCAAGTGCAACCCTCCAGCTGAGGAAGTTCTTAAGATGCCACTTGTCAGAAACTAGAAAATGTGTCTTAGGATGAACTGTTCTCCATATGTCCTGTTTCTCCTGTTCTTTTCACAAACAAGCTCCTGAAGTAGACGGACGCTTCCTTTGATCTAGAAAAATACTCATGTACTACAGAAACTGCCTGATTTTCTACACTCTCACTGGTTTTTGTACTACAGTTTTATGTCTAGTTTTCAAATGTGCCATGCTGTAATGGAAATTGCAGGAATGGGTGCTAGATGATAGAAGGAGGGGAAGCGTACTACAGGATATCCTTACCTTCTCAAATATAGGATCTTGGTTGTCACTGTATGTCATTTGATTCCTTATGTAGAGCACAGCATCATGGACAGTCAAAAAGAACATGTCTTTTCTGACAGTGTCATCAAAGAAGGCGCTCCGTTCCAGCTGAGATATAAGGTTGTCTGAATAAAAGAAAGTCATAAAAGGTTTATACAATCTGAAGTAAATTAAAAAAATAAATGTCAAAATGGTTGCAACAATCAGAAATCAAACATACAGCCAAATGAATCCATCAATCATATCTTTGACTTGACTTTTACTTTCCATCTTTCTTTTAAACCCCACCATTCTTTGTGTCCCATAAGAGTTGGGTTTTTGTTTTATTTTGTTTTATCAGTGTGATAATTCACATATTTATGAGCACAAGTGCTCCCACAGACACATCTAGTGATCCCTTCTCATCTTCACTTTATTCTTTGCATGAGTGATAGTAGAAATATTTGGGTATTTACCTTGATATGAAGCAAAATATACTCTCACATCAATTCTCTCAAACTCTTTGATTATCTAAAAAAAAATAAAAGTTTGCAACAAGTACATAAATAAATAAAGTTTGTAACAAGAAAATACATACATGTATATATGTCTACAGAAGTAATGTGTAGGCACACACTTCATTTTCTTCTGAGTGTCTTCCTTCTGAATGGTACATTCTGTTTCTTCACTGTCAATCTGGTACTGCTGTACTTGGCTATACTTAACGATCCGGTCATTAAGTGCCTGGTTGCTGAAGTGGCCTATCTTTGGCTACGTAAGTGGAACTATCCGTGTTACACACATAAACATTGCTGCCAATAAAGGTCCTCATTCTGTTCTCATAATATCAATAATCATCTCTCAAAACAAGAACATGTGGGCCTGAGCAAGCTTTTTTTCCCCCACGTATGTGTGATACAGTACCATCATTTGCTGGCACATGCAGGTTTTTTTACACAGATTCTTCCCTCGTGCAATGCACCAGATGGACCTGTCCTTGGATGAAGAAGCTATATTTGGAAAGAGTCATATCTATGGAACCCATATCTCTTTTGTCTCGGGAGCCAGAAATGAGCAGAAACTATGCAGAAGGCTGAAGCAAAGCACACACCACTCCTGTATTTTACTGAGTTAAAAGGTGGGAGACTGGAATCTACCCTGGGCTCCAAGGTGTCAGGCAAGTCTCTTAAAATAGTGTATTCAGAGGTGATTACCAATTCCATTCCCTTCTGTTAATTGATAAACTAGAGTGTGATTTATAGATAGGCTAAGCAGTACCAATTGCAAAATTAAGTTAGTGAAAGCAGAAATCGGAACATACAAAGTATCATAAAATATTAAAGTCTGAACAATCTGACCCTACACATTTGTAACTGGGCACCAAAAAATAATGGAAATACTTGGCCTTAATCTCTGCACCTCATTTCCCTCTCCCTAAACCAGGAATATTATCTCCTTACTATGTAGTTTGATGTTTGAAGATGAGTTAATGAATCTTGATGAAGCCCCTTATACTAGCCACAGAAAATACAAAGAAATCAATCATTCTTCCCTCTTTCATAATATATTAATGAATAAATAAATCAGTGGATAAATACTGAACAGGGATGGTAAGATGAAATTTTTACTACCTCTGTGTTGAGTGAGCATCATCCTGTGCCCAGATTAAAGCAGGAGGCATGTGGAAAGAAAATATATAACCAAAATATTTCATAACATATGCATGTAAGGGGACCTCGTTTTGCAGTTAAGATTTTTGAGTACCTGACTATGCAACCTTCATATCGTTTTTTAAATGCATTTTTTTCCCACCTAAAATACACACACCCCAATATTCTGTCTTTTGCTGTATAAATTTTGAAGGTATTTTTCAACAACAGACTTTTAAAACGTCAGAAATTAACTTCAGCTAACAGCTCTCGATTTATGCACTACTGATTACTTTCCTTTTCATGAAACATCAGTAGAAAACATCCTTACCGTTTTTATTGATCTCACAGCTACAATATCCAAGAAGGTTACTGCTCCAAAATCAAGAATCAGACTGTGGATGGGCACCTTGGGGATGTTTACTTTGACTGGAAGTTCTGAATTCCAGTCCACCTGGATCTCTACTTCTTTGGTGGGAACTTGAAGATCTTGGTTGTCTTCAGGATCCTCATCAGTCTCAAAAGCTTCATTATTAATGCCAGGCTCACTGATGATGCCATTCTGATGGGCAGATAATACAAGTGGAATATAGAGTTTAATCACAGTAAAGTTTTGGAGTTACAGAAAATACTTCCCTATGATACCTTCTGTTTCAAGAATGAACAAGACAGATACTTGTGACCAGTACCCCCTGCTCCCAATCCTGGTAAAGTGGTTAGCGTAACTAATGCCATTTTATAAGGCAGGAAGCCATTCTCTATGGCTGAGCAGGTCATGTATTTGTTCCCTTTTCCTTTATTCTCAGGCCTTGAAGTCCTGTGAACCAAGCAGATGAACCAAACAGATTTCTTCTTCCCCTGCCTTCTGGCCTCAAGATACCTGGGCACCAGACTGATTACTCCCTTACCAGCCTTGAAGGTCCCAGACACCTGGTTGTTCCTGATGACCCCATCACAGAACAGGGGAGTGTAACAGCACAGAGCACTGTCTATGACAAGGTCTAAGTGGGAAATTTGGACCAAAACTGCTGCTGGAGAGTGAGATCTGTGACCCCCCAGTGGCCAGGGATGCCTCCACTGTTTTCTGTTTTCTCTGAGTATTGGTGACTCATCTTCCTGTATGTCATTTTCAAGTCTAGGTTATGATTGTTACATTGATGCATCAGACCATCTGACCTGATCTGCAGAGAAACCCTAAGTTAAGTTAGGGTCTAGGTGATTAGAGACTGTAAGTTAAGTTGTGTTATAAATTCTATATTACGCTACTTATAAATTGTACTACATTAATTCTGTTTGTAGAAATCCTGTGCCATTCCAATCATAAATTCTGAGCTATACTAGTCACAAAATCCGATTAAGAAAAAGAAAGCTCTAATTGTAACTATAATTTAGTGCCATCACCATTTTGCAAGGATCCCTAAAAGAATCTGTCTCCTGTTGCATGACATATAAGAATTTAGAGAAGAACAAGGTAGAGCACGTAATTATTTCCTTTTCTCTTATTTATTAACAGAGCATCTTCCTGCAAACAGGCCATTATCTGGAAAAATAAGTATCTCAGAGTGATTCCCTCCTCCCTCAATAGCTTCATTTCTAGGAGATATCTAAGACCAGTATTTTCAGCTTTAAATTAGATTTACTATGTATGATTCTGTGGTAAAATTACTAAGTCAAAAGCTGGAAGGTCACATAAACTGAGCATTTAACCGCATCCCAAATTGAAATATATAGAGGAAATACTGCATCCTTCACTGAGAACAGAAAACTCATTTCTGATTTCCAGTTCTGGAAATTTGCTATATTGCCCACAGTTGTCTACTCCTGTAAGCATTTAATTATTGAAATGCACAATCCATACTCAGAGAAACATATGCCACTTTCTCTAAAGAGGATGTAGAAAGCTATGTCTACCAGGCAGCTGATACGGCTCACCTGTGCATAGGAAGCTGGATAAGAGGAGCATGGACACACTCAGGAGCCAGCACTTTTACTGCACAGAGACAATCTGAGGTGGTGAGGGGTAGAGGCAAGATAAGGGTATCTCTTGCTTCCATTCCTGCTAACACTACGAGTGTCACGGCTGCCTGAATCTGTGGGGTCTTTGGCAGTAGGTGCACTGCTCTGCTAAGTCTCCTGCAGGTCATAGACTTCCTACTATAGTAATGAGTCACACTTTTTATCTTTATTTTAAAGATGAGTACAGAGAAATTAATAATTAAGGTTGAAGTAATAAACTCCAATAGTAATCCTTTGAGAAAGAATCAAAAGAAAAAAAAAAAGGCTTACCTTAGTAGCTTTTAATTTTCCCTTCTTGATTAGCTTCTGTATTTTTCTCAGTGCTTTGAGTCTCTTATTATATACCTTGACTGCATCAAATCCCACCTACAGAAAAAGAACCAAAATTATTTAACTTAACATAGATATAATTCTGAGGAAATCTCAGGGTTAGTTAAAAGGCTTCCAAACCCATCACATCTCACTTACTGTGGATTTGAGGCTGCTTTTCAGTCCATCAATGTTAGCATAAAAAATTGGACTTGCAAACTTGAGAATCTTCACACCTTCTGGTTCTATAACCTGTTGCCAAAGAAAATAAGGTTTAGCAGCAACAACTACATTTTGACTAATAAGAAGTAGTTTAACTGTTTCAACAGTTCAACTACTTATCTAATTCACAAAAATTGC